ATAATATGAGAGTAATATTATGATAGTAGCTATACTATATACTAAAATCTGTATATGAATGGTTTGAAAGAAGGTCGGAATTTGGGGGGATAATCGAGAAGACACTGAGATGTAAAAAACAAATAACTGTAAGCAAGTATGTAACACGATGTCTGATAAGCACAAACAATGTAGATAGATTGGAAAATTAATAAAAAAAAGTTTAAAAAAACCCCATCAAATTCCTAGTGTTGAATATAAGGTAAGGATTATCTCATTACTTCCATGAACGTACCACAAATCAATCCTCTATTTCTTTCTGAGCTACAAAATATCTCTTGAAAACCAAGGAATTAGATTACACAATAACTTCTACTTCAGTACCAAACATAGTTTCCTTTTGTCTTGCTTCTGAAGGAAAAATACACTCAATTTGTTCAGGACATAACTGTTGCTCTTACATTCTTTGGAAGCCAGAACACTGCAACAACATATTAGTCAAATTCCTATTGGTGTAACTGTGCAGTGTAACCTGGATTGGACAGTGGAAGTAATTAAAAGCCTCCTTTAATGTCTCAACACTGCCAGCAGTGAATCTTTAGTATTAAAGTCTCCCCACCCAAGTCCTGAGGCTTCCCCAGGGCAAATGGGAGCCCTGGGGAGCCTTGGAACATAATAGCAAGAGGATGGAAGGCTTTTAGTTACTTTAAATTAAATGTTTCAGCACCTGGTCCAGGTTACACCAGTGAAAAGTTACACAACAGGATTTTGGCTAATGACGCAAAGCACAGCACTAACAATTAAACAGGATATAGAAATGGTGAAATTTTCTGAAACTAACTTGCTTAAAGCCAAATCTTTTATAGTTTATTGACAAATACAACAAGAGTGGGCAGATATCATCAGACTGAAACTCCCAGCATCCCTCACCACAGGCTATATTGGCTAGAATTACTGGGAGTTACTCTACAACATCATCTGGAGGACTGCAGTTTAATTACTTTGCCACACAAATACTTCCTCATATAGACGTGGAAATACTTGTTGTGCTAAGGCCTTCAAAAGACTCAAATGATTCAAGTAGGTTTTCCTTGGAGGTTTTCCCACCAGTCTTTTCTTGCATATAGGTTTTGATTATAGTATTAGGAGTTCTCAGTCTCAAAGCAAAACAACAATGCTGTAAATAATCAAAGCCAAGAAAGGAGCAGACTATTCTTAAAAAACAGTGAACAAAACCAATTAAATCTAATAAACACTGCTCTGCAAAATGAGTCAGAAAACTGCAGTATGGACCTGCGCATCACCACAGAAAAAAGAAAACTTTCCATGGTATATATAAAAAGACTGGCATCACTGAGGGGAAACATGATCTTTCCATTAGAAGATATTGCTATTTACAGGAATGCCTAGTATTAATTTACCTTCTAATTTTTTTCAGTACAGTACAGTAAACATTTCAACTTAGAATACTGAAGCCCAGATGAAACAACCGTTTTGTGCTTCAGGAGGACTCTTGATCTGAATCGTCTTGATCTTTTCGCCCACAGACTACTTAGAATTAAAACCATGTGGGCATTTGTTGTTGTTGTTCTTGAGTCATTAAGTCATGTTTGACACTTCGTGACCCCATAGACCAGGGCACGCCAGGCCCTCCTGTCTTCCACTGCCTGCCGGAGTTGGGTCAAATTCATGTTGGTAGCTTTGATAACACTGTCCAGCCATCTCGTCCTCTGCCATCCCCTTTCTCCTATTGCTTTCACACCAACATCTGGGTCTTTTCCAGGGAGTCTTCTCTTCTCATGAGATGGCCAAAGGACTGGACCCTCAGGTTCAGGATCTGTCCTTCCAGTGAGCACTCAGGGTTGATTTCCTTCAGAATGGATACGTTTGATCCCCTTCCAGTCCAGGGGACTCTCAAGACTCTCCTCCAGCACCACAATTCAAAAGCATCAATTCTTCAGCCATCGGCCTTCTTTATGGTCCAGCTCTCACTTCCATACATCGCTACTGGAAAAACCATAGCTTTGACTATGCGGACCTTTGTCGGCAAGGTGATATCTCTGCTTTTTAAGACGTTGTCAGCATTTGTCATAACTTTCCTCCCAAGAAGCAGCCACCTTTTAATTTTGTGGATGCTGTCATCCATCTGCACTGATCATAGAGCCCAAGAAAGTAAAATCTGTCACTCCATATCTTCTCCTTCTATTTCCTAGGAGGTGATGGGGCCAGTGGCCATGACCTTAGTTCTTTTGATGTGGAGCTTCAGACCATTTTTTTGCACTCGCCGCTTTCACCCTCATTAAGAGGTTCGTTTCTTTTGCGCTCGCCGCTTTCACCCTCATTAAGAGGTTCTTTAATTCCTCCTCACTTTCTGCTATTAGAGCGGTATCATCTGCATATCTGAGGTTGTTGATATTTCTTCCAGCAATCTTAATTCCGGTTTGGGATTCCTCCAGTCCAGCCTTTTGCATGGTGGATTCTGCACAGAAGTTAAATAAACAGGGAGACAATATACAGCCTTGTTGTACTCCTTTCCCAATTTTGAACCAATCATTTGTTCCGTATCCAGTTCTAACTGTTGTTTCCTGTCTCACATATAGATTTCTCAGGAGACAGATAAGGTGGTCAGGTATTCCCATTTCTTTAATAACTTGCCATAGTTTGCTGTAGTCCACCCAGTCAAAGGCTTTTGCGTAGTCAATGAAGCAGAAGTAAATGTTTTTCTGGAACTCTCTGGCTTTCTTCATAATCTAGCACATGTTAGCAATCTGGTCTTTAGTTCCTCTGCCCCTTTGAAATCCAGCTTGTACTTCTGGGAGTTCTCGGTCCACATAATGCTGAAGCCTACCTTGTAGGATTTTGAGCATAACCTTGGTAGCATGTGAAATGAGTGCAATTATACAATAGTTGGAGCATTCTTTGGCAATGCCCTTCTTTGGGATTGGGATGTAGACTGATCTTTTCCAATCCTCTGGCCACTGCTGAGTTTTCCAAACTTGCTGGTATATTGAGTGTAGCACTTTAACAGCACCATCTTTTAAGATTTTAAATAGTTCCACTGGTATGCCATCACCTCCACTGGCCTTGTTGTTAGCAAAGCTTTCCAAAGTCCACTTGACTTCACTCTCCAGGATGTCTGGCTCAAGGTCAGCAACCACATTCTCTGGGTTGTCCGGGACATCCACATCTTTCTGGTATAATTCCTCTGTGTATTCTTGCCATCTCTTCTTGTTGTCTTCTGCTTCTGTGAGGTCCCTACCATTTTTGTCCTTTATCATGTCCATCACAAAAGGTTCCTTTAGCATCTCCAATGTTCTTGAACAGATCTCTGATTTTCCCCTTTCTATTATTTTCCTCTATTTCTTTGCATTGTTCATTTAAGAAGGCCCTCTTGTCTCTCTTTGCTATTCTTTGGAAGTCAGCATTCAATTTTCTGTAACTTTCCCCATCTCCCTTGCATTTTGTTTCCCTTGTCTTCTCTCTGCTCTTTGTAAGGCGTCGTTGGACAGCCACTTTGCTTTCTTGCATTGCCTTTTCTTTGTGATGTTTTTGTTGCTGCCTCTTGTACAATGTTACATATACTGCAATAACACACAACATCTTTATTCTAATAATGCATTGCTATACATGGATCTTCCTGAAAACTCAGGAGCATTTTTTCTGTTATTGCTACAAGTTAGATAGACCATAAACATATCAGAAGAAAAGTATGAATGGAAATAGGAAGAGGCGGAAACCAATAAGAAAATGTAGAATTAGATAAGAAAAGAGAAGCCAAAGGATTTATATATCAAATAATATTCAACAGTGACGTTGTCAAATGGAGTACCAGTGAGAGCAAAAGAGTAAAACCCTTCCACTGACTACATGATAGTTGCCCACAATAAGGCAGTAGATACCTCTCTTTAAAATGCAAACAATTTTACAGGGGCAATCCTTACATCATTCTATTTAATTTAATCTATTTAACACTGAGTCGTTAACAAGCACTTAGTCCAAACAGAACAAAAGAGAAGCATATTATTAGTAATAGAAAGAAAGACTCGCGAGCCGGAGGGTGAAGGCCGCCCCGGCTCCGGTGCGTCGCAGGCCCTTCGCGACATCCGTCTTCTGCGCGCGCGCCGGGGTGTGTGTGTGAGGGTTTGAGGCAAATGCTTGACACGTTTGTGTCAGGAGTCCTCCCTACGCCCTGTTATCGGGTATAGTGTTGCGCACAGAACGAGACGACGACTCCCCCCTCCCCGGAAAAAAAAAGGAATGCATTTTCACACACGCTTGGTGGAGCGTCTTCTCCTTCCTGACCAGCCTGAGACCCGATACGAATTTCTAGGGAGGAGAGGAACGGAGATATTCGGGACTCCTGTGAGTCCCTCTGCGAGACGCCAAACCCCTGTCCTCCTTCTGCCCGCCCGCCGACCCAGCCACATCTCTCCACGGCACGGTGCTCGTCAGTCAGTCAGCCCTCCCTCTCCTCTCCTCTCCTCTCCTCTCCTTCTCCCGCTCCCGCCTCCAACCACCTGCCTGGCCCTCCGTCTCCTGCGCCCAGCCTCGACTCTTCCTCGGCGTCCCATCTCTCCGCCGTGCGCCCCCGCGGCCCTCCCTTCCCGCCCACGCGGAGGCCAGCCAGGAGCGAGGAGGACCCGCACCGGCACCCCGTCAGGCTCGGGGGGGGGGGGAACAAAGGCCTCCCTGCTTCCACCTTTACTCTTGCACGCCAAGCGCTATTCTCCGTGGCGCTCGCCACGGAGGCGGGCGGCGTACTCGCCCAGCTGGCTCGGGGGAAGGGCGTCCCGCTCCACCCTTCTCTCTCTCTCCCTCCCTTCCACCCACCCCCTCCCCCGCCCGCGGGCCCCGGCCAAGCGCTATTCTCCGTGGCGCTCGCCACGGAGGCGGGCGGCGTACTCGCCCAGCTGGCTCGGGGGAAGGGCGTCCCGCTCCACCTTTCTCTCTCCCTCCCTCCCTTCCACCCCCCCGCCCGCCCGCCCGCCTGCGGGACTCGAACCAAGCCACCAAACACCGACCTTCTTTCGGACACCCCTCGGACTCCTCGCGTCAGCGCCTAGCTAACTCACAACGCAGGCGCAGTTCCCGGAACCGGTGTGGTTGTGAAAGCTGGGGGGGGGGCCCGCAAAGCATTGCGGGAACGGTAGTCGCTAAGCGTGTCTTAAGCTCAGCCTCGAAGGAAAGAGCGGACGGGCAATTTCCCTGCGTGATCAAAGGGAACCTCTTGAACGTCATTTCCCGTCGGGTGAACCTCTTGGATGTCATTTCCGGTCAGATGCAAAAACCTGACCTTCCCTGCGTGATCACCGTCGGGTGAACCTCTTGGACGTCATTTCCGGTCAGATGCAAAAACCTGACAGCTGCGGGTGAGGGGGGGGAGAGGAGAAGGCCGAGACATCTGCGTGGCTGCGTCTGGGCAGCCGTCGGGAAGGAGCTCCACCCCACAAGAAAAGCTCCTGCGTGGGGACGCCTCACCCCCGGGAGTTCGCAGAGAAACGCCCCCTGCTCCTTCACGCAGTTTCCTGACCGGGTTTCAGTACACGTGGGGGGAGAACAGTTTTTTTTTAAAAAAAGGATCTGTTGCCAGTGTGCCTCTTATGGAGAGCGATGACGGTTCACAACGCCCGCTCCAATGTGGACTGTCAGGTTTTTGTGTGTGTGTGTGGTTTTTTTTTGCCGCAATAAAAACTGGGGCGGGCCAGAAACAGGACGAGGAATCTGCCACACACTTTAAGGTAGCCCATTACTGTGTTGTAGTTTGGAGGCGGGGCGGAGCCTGACAAACTACGTTACAACGAAGTAGTCTAATTTAATCTATTTAGGGACGCTACGTGGTTACCATTCACACGGGTAACCACGCAGGGTTGTGAAAACGTGGTGCGGGGGGCTGTTTTTTTTTTTAAATAAAATGACGACACAATTTAACTGTTCCTTTGAATACACACACCTCGAGCACCATTGTCTTTATTGTAGACGCAATGTGTATTTTTGCCACCACTTACAAAGTGTAAACTGATTTTTTAAAAGATTATATTCCACCGCACCGCGTTTGTGACTCCTTTATATTTCTATGCTGCGCAAGGCTTTCGCACGCCTTGACGACAAACAGGAACACGAACGGCAATTCCCTTTAGAGCCGTTCTTCAGATCTCAGTGGTAGTGGTTTGATCGTCTCTTCCTGTTCCGCTGGCGGTCCCTGCAGGCTCCTCAAAATGAGAATAAAAGCTATTGGGTGTGCTGAATGCCCACAGCAAGATTTTGACAAGATTGATCTCACATCTAAATTTCCACCTCAGACTTGAACCACACACATTGGTCATAGAGCTATAGACCTAAAGTCTTAAGTGTGTCTTGTTTTAATAATGTTGTACACCATTTGGGGTGTCCCTGAACGGAAGAATGGAATCGAAATTAAAATAGTAAATAAATCTGGGTTCTAGTGGCTGCAGCTAAAGAAACTCCAAAGTAGGATGTTCCCAGTTATTAGGTACAGGTGTGAAAGCTTAGATGCTTCTGCAACAGGAAAAAAAACTGAATTAATTTACAATGTAGTGTTGCAGGAGCGTCTTATTATAGAGAAAGACAAATAACAGTGCTAGGTTAAATCAAGGGCTCAGAATTTTTAAATTCCAATCCCTGCTCAGCCTTGAAAACTCATTCAGGGTGTGGGAACTGGCAAGGCCACTCCTTAAGTATCCCATTTACCTTGAAAACTCATTAGGGTCACTATAAGCTGGTTCTGATATGAAGGCACATAACAGATTAGCATCTAGTGAGAATTCGGGTTTAATATAAAAAGAAGAAACTCACATTTTAGGGAAATCATTAAAAAGCAGGACTTACTGAAACAATGCTAGGGAAAGCTGCATTAATTAAATATAATTACAATTATATAATTAATATGGATGCACTTGCTCCTCTGTTAGTACTAACAGAGCAGGGGAGGAACACAGCACTAACACTCCAGCCAGACCTGTCCTTCACTTTGGGTAGTTGAATATTAAAAGTCCTGACTCTCCTCAGTAGATCATTGCAAATAATAAAAGCTTCTTTATGAAAACACTTAAAAAGTTGAAAAAGGTTAAAAACAGTTTTAAAAAAGGAAAAGGGTTTTTTTTTAATTAAAAAGGGAGTGGAGTTTGGCACAAACGCTGCCTTCCCTTGGACTGGAAACAGGTGCCCAGCTTAAAATCCTGAAATAATAACAGAAATGCAAGGACAAATATTTCCATACAGCAAAAAAGGTTATTCCACCACTTACAAAACTGTTTTGGAAATTGCTTAACATATCTTGTAAGCCCCTCTGCTTTCTTAATTTGTGTGAACTATATAAAGTCATATCAGTTTTTACTAAAGTGCAGCTAATTCTAAAGTAGATGATGACTTCATATCTGTGTCTTAACACTTGCATTTCATAGCAAGCAAGTTGAACACATTGTATCAAAGAACAATGTGATGTTTCCCTTTTGCCTTGCAGTGGCAAATCCAAACTGGTGCTTCCAAAGTAGGTGTGAAGATTTGAAAACTGCAGTTACAATGCATGAATCAGTTATAATTCATCATAATGTTCTTTTCCAAGAATGCCATTTTGCCTATACTGATGATATTGCCTATACTTTTAGACCAGATGGGCAGGGTATAAATCAAATAAAAAACCTTCCAGAAGGCTTTTAATTGAAATAATATTAGCTGTGGGTCCGATGGCAATTTTTATATATATTTTAATTGTATTTTAATTGTTATGAATTTTTATTGTATTTTAAATGTTGTAAGCCGCCCAGAGACCTTTGGGTACTGTGGGTGGCATATAAATAAAATAAAATATAAATAAATAAATAAAATATACGGTAGTACCTCAATTTACAAACTCCTCAGTTAACATCATTTTCAGAGTACGAATGGAAATCTGTTGAAAACAGTGCCTCCGTTTACGATTTTTTTTCAGTTTGCGAAGAAAGTTTCCCCAGGATGCATTGCCATAGCACCGCCCCTGTTCCTATGGTAATCCACATTCCGGTTTACGAAATTTTCGCTTCACATAACATCCTGTATAACGCACTAATTTCGTAAACTGAGGTACTACTGTCTCACACTAGCTATAAAAAGTGTAAGATCCAGCCCATCCTTTAACAACTATTTTATTGTTTTTTCCACATATGCCCCAATAAATCACTACTTCAAAGAGACAGTTCCATTTTCACATCCATCTTGCTTTGATAAGGGGCCAGCACTGGCCGGACCTCTTCTTTTAGGAATCTTGCAACCTGTTATGAAGGAAAGGAGGGGAACAAAATCAGAAAAATTATGTGGGCCAAAAACTCATTTAGTCCAGGTATATTCTCCAGTTTCTCTGTTTTGCACAAATTCAAATAAGGCTTAAATCAGAATGTTTCAAACAAAACCTCCCTGCTGAGAGTTGAAAAGGATGTGCCGAAAGAATAGGTAAGGAGGAAGACATGAATGTCTACGCTGATCAGCTTCCAAAGCCTGTCAGTTTAACCAAGAAAAAGTTATAGAGATACAAAAAATTCAGTTATAAGAGGTATACCAAGAATTTTGCTCAGATGCTGTTGTGAAAAAAGCTTAGGACTAACAGCATGGTAAGGATTGTATTTTTAAAATGACACATCCAGTCTACAGGGCCACCAATTTGCATTACACAGTAAATGAGGGTATGGCAGGCAATTCTGAAACAAAAATCAGGAACAGATTAGGGAAAATCAAATAATAACAGATGAAGGGAGGTGATAAATGAAAAGAAAGGGAAAAACCTGTCTAGTTATAGGAAAAGCTATATGACAACAGATGCATTTATATTAAATGGACTAAGGGTGCAAAGGAAAGGGGTCTGTAAATTGCGGGCAAAGACTTCAAAGATTTGAGGACAATCACAGTGCAGAGCAATTGTATAAGACTTGACTTTTTCTATTCTCCTTACCTGCTGAGAAGCACGTCCAGTAAATGATGAAGGCTCTAAGAGAGTTTCTAGTTGTCCTACGATAGGGCTAAAGTAGGGATCAGCACGAATACGTTCAATGAGATCATTATCACCCCCCTCTTGCTTCACAACAGCAGCTGCTTGCTGGGACAGAACCCTTATCTTCTCATGACAATCCTAGGGAAAAGAAGGAAACATTACATTACCAATACTGTAAGCCAGGAAGCCTACTAACCCTCCTGGGTCAAGGGTCATACAGAAACTTTGGAAACTAATCAAAAGGTTGCTGAGCTAAACTACCTGGAAATGAATGTCAGTATCAGCACTTGACCTGTGTGTGATAGAATCATTACAGTTCCTTAGTTCTCTCTTTAATGTGTTTCTTTTATTCATTGTTAAATGGATTCAGAATAATTTTCATCTTAAGTTGTACATACTGGACCATAAGATATAGTAAAAAAAGTCTCATTTTATGAAACTTTCCACATGTTTCATAGAATTTTTTCAGCCACCCAACAGAAGTAATATAGATTTGGTTAAGAAGTACTCATGATGCTAGCAATTTTAAGAAAAGTTCGGATGCATCACTAGACTACAACCACTGGACCAGAAATATGGAGAGAGAAAAAGAATATGAAACACAAAAAAGTATGCTAAGTCTGGTTCTTAGACTCATTGAATCAATGAGACTTACCTAAGCATTGACTTTCATTCAATGGGCTTGTTCGGATAAGACTAACAATTCTATTTGAACAGTTGGATTTAGCCTAATATAATTAATATAAACTTTTCAGCCAAAACACAGAACATTCTTATCAGGAAGATCCTTACATGGGTGCAAAGCAAAACTGCTGAGTGAAGAGAAAGCCAAAATATCCTCCTGTCCCCTGGTGGGCTCTGATGCTTCTGGATTATTGTGGGAAGGAAGAAACTCTAATCTTTGCCCTCTCCCATGAAGCCGATGTGGGAGGGGGGCTCATACAACTCATGGATTCTGCATCCTTCACTTATAAGCAGGGAAAACGGAGAATAAACTAGAGAAAGCATTTACAGGAAATGTCCGACGCTCAAGTGTCTCAAGACAACAGCAGCCAAATGCCATAATATATGTTTAATTACACTTTTAATATTTTTATTTATGCATCTGTAATCTGTCTGCCATTTTGGAAGCTATCTTGGGTCCCTGAATTAGGAGAAAGACAGAACATAAATGATATATATTGATATAGATATATCATATATACATACATATACCCTATTTCCCTGAACATAAGCCCTAGTATGATTTTTCAGGATGCTCGTAATATAAGCCATACCCCAAAAATAAGCCTCAGTTGAGTGAGACCCCGCCCTCCACCCTTGTGCAATAACCAGAAGATGACATTACTATATTTGAATAAATGTAGATTGTTGTACATGAAAAAAATAAACATCCCCTGAAAATAAGCCCTAATGCATTTTTGGAGCAAAAATTAATATAAGACCCTGTCTTATTTTGGGGGAAACATGGTACATATACATATAAACAGACAAAAACACACATATACGTGTGTGTGTGTGTGTATAATTTTATGCACACACACATATACACACACAAATGTCAGAATGCCTTTCCTCAATGTCATCTGCCCAACCCACTTAGTTTTCCAGACTAAGTTGCTCCGGATAGCCACTCCGAGGGAGACCCAGAATTCCTCCATGAGAGATCAGGCCTTCTTCACAGTGGCTCCAATGTTGTGGAGCCAGCTCCCAGCAGAGAGCTATGCTTGGCTCCCTCACTACTATTTAAAAGACAACTCAAAACGTTGGTTTTCAGGGAGGATTTCCACATCAACCCTATTTGATTTTGACTTTTTGCTCTCTGTCCTCCTGTCAGATAATTGTCCTTGGTGCCACTTTTTCTAATTTTATTAATGTTTTAATTTTTGGATAATCATTATTTAGCATTGTATGTTTTATCTATTGTTTTAAACCACCCAGAATAGTGCTTTGCACTAATGAGGCTGTATATGAATCAAATAAATCAAGTCAAGCAATCAATAAATAACGAATTAATTAATGAAACATAGCCACACTGCAAAAGTCCAGCTCATGAACAGGTTTTCAAGCAAAATAACGACATTAAAATGGAGCATAATATCATAACTGCCTCCACTAGATATTAAACCTGCAAAACATTAAAAAAAACCACCTGTCATCATCTGTTTTAGCTTCACAGCATATGATGACATAGTGGCTAACAGGCCTAGTCTATAGAAAAATAACATTCTAGTTTCATAACTTTTTTATAATCTCTCTATTGCTCACATGTGAGGGACATTTAGTCCATGGCTAAAATCATGTTGCTTAAAGCATAGTGAGTCACAACCAGACAAGGCCCACTGAATCAGTGGGGATTTAATGAGTCAGATCCTTCTTTAATTCCACTGATTCAGTGGACCTAATCTAGTTGTGACTGACTATGCTAGGCAACAAGATTTCAGCCCATGAATAAAATCTATAGTTAAGTACGTACCTGACGATTGCCTCCTGCTTTCACCATAGCCATAATAATATTTTCTGTGCACATGAAAGGCAACTCCTGCTGAACACGCCTTGCAATTACCTATTGCAAATCAAATATAGGTAAGCATCTATGGAATTACTCAGTTTGGTTTTCTTTTCATTAATTCTATATTCATGGAAGGAACAACATCTCAGTACTGTATTAAAACACACAATTTAAAGGACTCAATACTGTATTAAAGTACATTCATACCACCTTCAAACTGGTAGCAGGTGATCCTGGAGAGCAGTCTTTCCTAACCTTGGGTAATCCAGATGTTCTTGGACTGCCATTCCCAGAAGCTTTCATCACCAGCTGTTCTTGTAGGAGTTTCTGGGACTTGCTGCAAGAACATCTAGTTTACCAAAGGTTGGCAATCACTGCTGGAGAGTAATTGCCAGTCAGAATGAAAAATGCCAGAACAGATAACCAAAGAATGGGATCTTGTATAAGGCAGGTTCCTATGTTACTAGACAGCATGTTTTAAAAGTTCTTAAACATTGATGAAGTTATTTTTATAAGCTACTAGATACTTAAAGTATCTGTTTCAACACATTTCATACTGATTCTGGCTTAGAAATGACCTACAGAATGGGGAGGAGGATCATTACTTCTTTGTGTATAAAGATGATAGGAATTTACAGTAAATCTTTTACTGTGGAGCAAGCCGGCTTCCTCTCACGTTCACAATGCTAATAATAGATATACTACTTAGTGAATCAAGTACTGCTTCAGTTGTCCGAGCTGTAGACATACCAATGCTTCAGATGGGCCATATACATATATGCAACTTTTAATTTTTAAGATGTCACATATGCAGTTTATTTATTTAACTCAGGGGTGGGCAATGTCAGCAAGCTTGGGGGCCAAATTCTTTTCCCAAACAGATGCAGCAGACCTGGAAATGGCCAGAAATGGCCTTTTAAACAAACAAACTGGAAGTACATGTTAAAAGAAGTGAATGAATAAAATAAAATAAAGTAAAATAAAAGGATTGTCTCCCCCCATGAAGGAATCTGTTCAGTGGTGATTTTGATGCCTCAGTTGTATCTTATCTACACTACCTGGCTAATGTTAATTTATCATCAGATAAGAACAAGTTTCTACAAAACCACAACTAGTGCTAGAAGTGGAGAGGATCACTTTAGGAAATATTTCTTTATTTACTATATAGCTGCAGAGGCTTCTAGAAGCTTTTAGAGCATTTGATATAGTGCTGTCCAGGCCTGCTGGTCATCACTGTCGTCAAGTGTTAAATAAGAACACGACTTACAGCATATGCAGCATTACCCAATGATTGCTAGGAAGTGCAAGAACTATTAGTAGAGAGAATTGTTTTATATAAAAACTGGTCTGCCATTGCTCATGTCACAAACAGACTGCTAATAAACTTCCACATAACCCCAGGTTCCCTCACAGTACAACAAGAAAAGCAAATGGGCCCTCTTACTTGCTCTTTTTTTTTTTTACCTACCTTGGGGTATACCACTGTACCTTCAGAGATATTCTGAAGAGTGCTAAGTATTATGTCCGCAGTGAGGAAGGCCTCAGCTAAACACACACGTCTGTAAGACAAAAGACACATGATTATCAGATAAGGAAAAAGGGATTGCTGCATTCCCACAGAAAGGAACGTTTTAACAGCTCAATACCAATTCTTTATTTGGCACATTTAGGAATTATGTCATTTAATGATGGCATCATGCACTTATTAACACTTGTAACTGATGAAGTTTCAGTAAGAAAATGTATGGCGAATAATTTATTAATGAATATACAGTGGTGCCTCACTTAACGACGATAATCCGTTCCAGGAAAATCGCCGTTAAGCGAAAACTTCGTAAAGTGAAAATAAAAACCACATTGAAACATATTGAAACCAGTTCAATGCGTTTCAACAGGGTAAAAACTCACCATCTAGTGAAGATCCTCAATACGGCAGCCATTTTCGCTGCCTGTATAGCGAGGAATCTGTCCCTAAACACAGCGGGGAGCCATTTTAATTACCCGGCGGCCTTTTGAAACCACCAATCAGCTGATTAAAAAACATTGTTTTGTGAAGAATCGGTTCCTGAAGCAGGGAACTGATCATTGTAAAGCGAAATTCCCCCATTTAGACCATCATTTTGCGATCGCATTTGCGATCGCAAAAAGATCGTCATAAAGCGGCTTCATCGTAATGCGGGGCAATCGTAAAGTGAGGCACCACTGTATTTTTAAAGTATCTGATCTATAGCTTGGAACCAGTAGTTTTATTTTGAACATACAATGCAGTGTTTGAAATGTTGCATTCAGAAAAAATGTTGATGTTTGTATCTAAACACTGATAAAGACATCAGAGTTGTAAGGTAGCTAAAAGCCCAGCTAGTCCAACTTTCCAACTTTCTGCATGCCTACTACTATAGTACCTCTAATGGCTGGTCATCCAGCCTGTGCTTCAAAGGTCATAGAGAAGCTAGACTATTAGGAAGGAGGTTCCATGGAGATCAAGATTACTTCTAATTAAGTGTTTGGATTCTGGGAGCTTCACAAAGCATTTCAGTTACAATGACTTGATGCTTTTAGCAAATGTAGTCCTTTATCTTCAATATACTCCTAGAGTCCCTATTTCACATTTTGCTCCTAAGAATCAGAAACATGCCTGTTTGCACTGTCATCCAAGGTGCGCTCAAACCACTGCACAGAAGCTGTCTGAAGTGGGTCCAAGACCAGAACCATAAGGTGGCGAGCTAAACTGCAACAACGCTCTGAACGCATGGGATTCCGTTTATAAGCCATGGCACTTGAACCTGGAAAAAAAAGGTAAGCAGCATCAGAAGGAACTACATATAGTGCTTTAGCCCTAATGGGATGATATATAAATCAAAGTAATATATAAATATATTAAAGTCAAGGGAGGGAGCAAAATAAAACTAAAAAGAATGACAGCAAGGTAGCAAGGTGTACCTTTCTTAGACTTGTTCTCACTGTCTAAAGAAACTACTTAACTGTTTGCAAGATACAATCCTTGCCAACTTACAAAGATATTGACTAGACAACAAGACCTCTCAAAAATGTTTAAAACTTTAAGATGGGAGTAGAAAATGTACAGTGGGGTCTTGACTTACGAATGACCCTACTTGCGAACAATTCAACTTACGAACCTGCCCTATAGGGGAAATAAGGACTCGACATACGAACTTCCCTCGAGTTACGGACAGGAAAAAAGTGCCCCCTCCCTCCCCTTAGAGGTTTCTGGAGGGGGGGAAAAAGGTCAGAAACTTAAAAATAAATAAAAGAAAGTCACTTACCAGGCCTTGGTAGCCCCCAAACAGCAGGAAGAAGAGCAGGAAACAGCTAAAAGCCCACACCCAGAAGGAGCCTGGCAGCCATTTTGTGCTTCCCCCCCCTCCTCTCCCCGCCCATCAGCTGATCGGCTGGCTCTGAACAGGCTTCCGGAGGCTTGCTCAGCACCTAAAAAGCCTCCCTGTGTGTCTTTGTGCTGAAAAAATCAGCACAACATGCTTTAAAACATGATTTAAAATTGGCTTCGTTGAAAAAAAGATTTCAAAAGTGCTTTTAAAACTGCTCCCTTCCTCCCCCTTCCTTTCCTGAACCTAAGGAAAAAAAGAGAAAAATATCCCCCTCTAGTGGTAGAAGGCGGAATAGCAGCTTCCCATTAGTTTCTATGGACGGCAAAGAGCAGATACGGATTTAATCGTTTTCAATGCATTCCTATGGTAAATGCAGATTCGACCTACGAACATTTCGACCTACGAACCACCTTCCAATACAGATTAAGTTCGTAAGTCGAGACCCCACTGTAAAGTGTTTTTAAAAAGAGTTACATTGAAAGCATGGTTAGGGAAAGAGTTCTCAGCCCTGCCCCTTGCTTGTCACTGTCTCCACCAGGCAAGGAAATATCTAAAACAGGAAAGCTTCTGATATATGTGGAGCCTTTTCATGCAACAGGGGTTCTTGAACAACCGGGGTTGCAGTGTACAACAGCCTGTCTCCTCCTCACATGGAGATAGCAACAAGCAGGGAACTGAGCTAGCTAGAACACATTTTCAAATCAACCTTTTGGCCTCAATAGGGCTGCAGTTTTATCATCTCGCCTCAAGGCAGGAAAGAAGCTGCTTTGCCATTGCAGGCAGGAGAAAAGAGCATGTGAGTTCAAAAGTTCCTTGAAGGTTCATTCTCACAGCCTCAAACATGAGCTGGCATTACATATGAACCAACTGATTATCTCTGTTTACAAAAAAGTTGTAATTTCAGTCATTCCTCCTATCTATTTTTTGGATTGCTGATAATACAATGAGCTTAGAAATTTACTAAGAAATATTTTTAAGTTCATTTGGTTTCAAGTGAAATTATGTGCACCTACCTTTTCTGCAAAGGTCTTTTAAAAATGCTATGGGATGAATTTGCCAGCTGATTGTCTGAGACTTGTTACTACAATGTCATTTCTACTTTTAATCATTTGTGTTGGTATAAAAAGGCCTTCGTAATGGAAATGGGCTTAAAATATCTCGTAAGTGTTACTGAAATGAAGGACGAGGGAAGCAATACAATTGAAATATAATAAATACAGCAAAATCCTGTATACACACTCACTGCTTACCAATTTGATCTTTCTCAAAGGGTTCCTCTAATTCTTTGAGGTTGGCTAGAAGACGAATATCGGTACATATCTAGAGTAAAAAAAACAACAGTCAGTATTCACACACTGTTCCTAAACAGCACAATCTTTTATCAATAATCCTGGTTTCCACTAACCAAACATGGAGAGGGGGATGGAGAAACTAATTCGTTTCACACACATGTTCATCTCTTGCATGCAAGATTTTCCATTGATTTCAGAAGACTGAAAGTGCAACTATATAATTATCCCCTCAGAACTAAACAGTCTAAAGAATTCCTTGTTTAAAACAAGAAGTTGCTTTATGGTGTGAAATTCACATCATAATTCAAACCCTCCCCATCTTTACTCAAAATACGAGGACACTGATGTATCCTTATTGTACCTTAACTTCCACCCAAACTATACAATGTCTGAAATCCTGTTCATAGTGTAAGGTAAAACAATGCATGATACTACCACTGATCTTCATTTTAACTCACCTGATATACAAAACCAGTTCCTACCTCTGTTTCAATGTTGTAGACCAAGTTCTATAAATCTTGCATGAAAAATCAACAGAAACTATGTTTCTGGATTCTACGCTACATTTTCCACCAGAAAGGTAGCTGAAAGGAGTCCCGATTTTAATGTATATCTACAGATTGCTAACAAAACTATGTTTCTGGATTCTATGCTACATTTTCCACCAGAAAGATTTTAATGTATATCTACAGATTGCTAACATGGCTCTTCCAGTGCCACAAAAGATATGACACACTAATTTTATTACCACACAAATCAGCAGAACTAATGATTTCATTTTGATTTCCTCGGACTTATTTCTGGGCTTTTGCATTAATCATCATCATCTCAGTGGTGCCTCGCTAGACTATTGCCTCGTTTCCACCAGAAAGATTTTAATGTATATCTACAGATTGCTAACATGGCTCTTCCAGTGCCACAAAAGATATGACACACTAATTTTATTACCACACAAATCAGCAGAACTAATGATTTCATTTTGATTTCCTCGGACTTATTTCTGGGCTTTTGCATTAATCATCATCATCTCAGTGGTGCCTCGCTAGACTATTGCCTCGCGGGACGAAATGCAGTGGTGCCTCGCTGGACTATTGCCTTTGTGATCACCATGGTACCTTGCAAGACTTTTTTAATGACCGTGCTTCGCAAGACTTTTTTTTTGAGACCGATGCATAGGGAACCTCGCAAGACGATTTTTTCACAGGATGACAATTTTCGCGGAACGAATTAAAATTGTCTTGTGAGGCACCACTGTACTTCATTAAACCTGCTATCTCTGGATGTATGGCAGTCTCAAAGTTGGGTGATCATAGATGGACTGCTGGCAGAAATACAGGTCTCTTTCCAAACCTGCTGTCTCTGGATGTATGGCAGTCTCAGAGTTGGGTGATCATAGATAGACTGCTGGCAGAAATACAGGTCTCTTTCCTAGCAGGTAGTAGCAACTGTTGATTATTTAGTATTACAATAAGGATCACTTCTGACTTTGAAGAAAGACATAGGAACTAGACTCATGTCCATTTCACTTCATCTAGTGAAATACAGGGGTACTAGATTAAAAAGAAGGTAAGGTCTTTCCAAAGCACTCAACATATGTAGCAATGAACTGTTATACAAGCTAGCATCTGAGTTTAATTTGGCTTTTCAGATTAGTTGGTCAGTTCACATTCTTCCACACACAAGGAATCTAGTATATATCCTAGTCATTAGAGGTTATTAGATCCAAACAGAAAAGCAAAACACAAGATTAGATTTGATTCCTAGAGAAAGAGCTAAGCAAAAGAACTTTAGTCTGAAATTGCCTCCAAGAGTCGTTTGTGTGATTATTCAGTTGAGCTTAGTGTTCCCTAGTATCCCCTTACTTAGCAGTACCTTAAGTAGTTCTCACCTTATGTATGGATGCCCCTAGACTGGCTAGAACGGACAAGACTTCAATATCCACTTTTCGACTGTATGTCTGCCCTGTAACAATGTAAGCCCTGAAATGAAATACAAAGAATCCTTACATTCAACTGGACCCACAAACATGGCTGAGTGTCTAAGTAACATTGCATGAATACAGCAAATCATCTCTGATATTATCACTTGAAAGTATTAATTTAAAAACCATCTGGAAAAATGGTGTGGCTACAAAATTCAAGTTAGCATACAGTAGGGTAGGAGGAAAAAAGATACATGGTTTGAGAAAATGGAAAGAGCAGTTAAAGAACAAAAGGCAAACTGCAAAGAATTTTAAGTAGCAAAGTACACTCACCTTCCTGATAAGATTCTAGCAGTTCATACTAGCAGTAAACATGTTAATGGCAGAGCCAAATCTGAACTCACATACAGAGCTTTTAATTTTAACAATCTTAACAATGGAGAAGGACCATAGCAAAGTGGCAAAGCACATGCAAAAGGTTCCAGAGTGAATCTTTAGCGTCTCCTACTAAGGCAGTTCCATGTCTGGTTGCACTGGCCACATGACAAATGCTGGCTCTATGGCTTGGAAACTGGGATGAGCACCGCATCCTAGAGTCGAACACAACTGAACTAAATGCCAAGGGGAACCTTTACCTTACTAAGGCAGAGAAAGACTTCCAGTCACTGAAGGCCATTCTGAGCAAGATGGACTAATCATCTGACACATTGTAGAAAACAATTTCTGCTGTTCTTGAGTGTGCACTTTGTAAGCACATTTTCAGCAAGTAAGAGGAATGTCGTTTTTTACATACCGCTTAAATCCTGCCATGGCAGTCACGAGCCTGTCCAGCTCTTCCACCTCAGAGGCAAAATAGATAGGAACCTCAGAATAATTTCACTTCAAATAAGGATTATTCTACAGAACAAGTTTCCTCTTATAACCCCATTCTGAATCCAGTGTGATTTCCTGGTGTAAACTTTATCTTGCCTGATAATTCCTTCTGCTCCTTCCAATAATGTAGTTCCTCCATGGGCCTATTAAAATGTCATCCTAGCAAAAACCCTAGGAATGTTTACTTTGGTCCTTTTCTGATAGCCAAGAACTACATCCATTATATTCTTTTATGATTACCTCTTTCTTACTGATTCCAATATTCTATCCAATGTTCTAAAACAATATTCATTTTTTTAAGATGTTGCTTTAATCCCCTCCCTGCTTCTCCCTCAATACTTGTAAAAAGTTTAGGATGTCAAAAGGATGGAAAGCCAACTTATATTTATTTTTAATAAAGAAATACCTAACATGATACCTAACTTTTCCTGGAGAGACTTACTTTTTCATGATCCCCTTCAAAGAGCTGCAAAAAGCTGGCCTGAGTTCCAGTTGTGCCTTTCACACCACGAAATCTCAGTTCATCTCGTGCCCGTTCCAAATTGTGGAGGTCCATACAGAGATCTTGGATCCACAGGCAACAGCGTTTACCCACAGTGGTGAGCTGAGCCGGCCTAGGAACATGGTTGAAGAACAATCCCATCCAATTTATTCAAGATAATAAAAACTGATAGTACTTGTAACTCTGGAAGCATTTCTATCGTAACTTCTTCCAGAATCTCCATTTAAAAGCATTACAATCCAGCTCTTACAATTATTGATAAACAATGCCATATACACATACAAGTACCACTGCTGTTATTTCATTAGGCCAGAGTATTGAGTTCCAGATGCTGGAACACTGATAGGCAAAAACAAATTCTGAACATATATGTTTTTGCAGGAGTGAGAAGATTGAAAAGCTATCACGTATTTACCCTCTTGTTTCCTGCAAACAAAAGTTAAAATGCAACGTTAAATTTGGGCTGATTAGTAGTCCTTCAAAAAACAGTTTGTGTGCTAATTATATAAAAGATACTGCTAGAACTATTACTGTACTGTCTTATGGTATACTTTCAAACATGTGAGCATTCTATTAAATGAATGAGTTGTATCAATGTCAACACTTATCAAAGGGGATGACTGCTTCACATGACTGTTGACTAGATAATAGTATAAGCACATGGTTACCTGATTTACTCATGTATGTAAAATGGTGTGAACTACATGTATGATAGAAACAGAGATGTTGCTGACAGTTGCTATATTGAACTTGCATCTACCCTCAGAGTAATTTTGGTCTACAGATAGTAGTAAAGAAAATAAAAGTGTTCTTAAACATGCTCTTGCTATAGGCATTTCAGTAGCACTGAACTTGGTTTCATACAGCCTGCTCAACAGCTAGAATTTTCAGATGAAATTTGCTTTTGCTATGATAAATGTAGGTTTCAGTAGCTGAGGTTTATGTAGTTAGGTGTCGATCTCATAAAATCTAACTCAGCTACTGAAATCATTCATACACAGTTGAATGAATAGCAATTCAGGCCACTGAATCATAAAAGAGGTAAGGGAGACAGGCCAGAAATATATGTGCTACTAAATGAGTTAAGCTGTACATTACTTACTGGTAGTGAGTAAAACCCAAAGTGGGCAAGTTGGCATACTTCTCAGCGAAGTCTGCCAGACGGCTGATCACTCTGGCAAGCTAGTAAGGGTATAGAAAAAAGAATAAAAATACAAGAGAATTGAGGAAAGATACTGGATTATTTCTATTACTATCCTACTCTTACTCCAAGGAGCTTAGAGCAACGTATGTCTTTTACTTCTATTTAAAGGAAGAGAGAGGTTGTCAGTCAATGTGAATGTACAATAGCTTTCAAATGCTTCTGCATTAAATGGGACAGGTAACAACAAAAATGATCTATTTTATCCTAATAAATTCTAAAATCAGTAAAAGGCATTAATTTTTTCAATAATGGGATGTCTACAATACATTACAATAAGTTTATTTACGGTCCTTAGACCAGTCACATAAGTATAAAACCTTAAAATTTCTAACTTTCAGTATTCAATTCAAACATGTTGGCATACATACAACTGGGAACTGCAATCTAATTGGTATTTGACTTCTGCAGTCGAAGTACTGCTACACAGAACCTCGCAACCCGACAGGTGATCTGCACATCAACATCCGAGAGAAGGAACTCAAGCCTATTTCCCTCCAAACATCCTGGCAATCTATTTATTACGGGGGTTATAGTCTCTTTTCGCACTGCTTCATACAATGGGCAGGTGAAGAACATATGCTGTATGGTCTTGATCTCCCTCAGGTGGCAGGAGCATAATCTTTCAGCAAAAGGGGTATTTTTATATTTCCCTTCTAGTACAGCAGAGGGGAGGGCCAAACACCTTTCCAAAGTAAAGGCTCTTCTAGTTCCTTTAGTTTCCAAAGACGTTAATTATTTGGCCGGTTCCATACAGTTTTTGATGTAAGTCCTTGCTGTCATATTTTGAATGCTGGAGAGGTCTGTTTGGTATTCATTGTCCTCTATTCTTTGTTTAACTATTTGTTTTGCCTGCTCTATTCCAGAGGATATAAGTGCCTGAGGTGAGAGGCCAATTTTCCCCAACTATCCCTGGACCGATTTAACCCACTTAGATTGACAGTTATCATTAAATATCAAGGAAAATAGGCTTTTGGGGTTTAACTGTCCCTTTAGCCACATATATACAGACTGAATCCTAATCCAGGCTTCTACTTTAAGGCATCCTGTTCCTAGCCTTATCCTTGCATTCGACATCCATCTTGGGACCTGGAGTATAGTTCTTAGAAATTTGGATTGAACTATTTCTTGTGATGCAAAGTGAGAGCTGGGTGGGCCCATGAATGAGCCGTACAGCAGCTGAGCTAATGCCTTTGCTTTATACAATTTGAGGGCTGCTGGTATAAAGGACCCTCTCCTTGGGAGAGATGGAATTTTACTATGCTATTTGCCGATCTTTCTCCCTGATCTGCCACAAATTTACTATGCTGAAACCTAGATCCCGAGGCCTGTAGTATTACACCCAGATATTTGAAGCTGTTCACCTGCTCGATACTGTGTCCATTTATTTGCCATTATTGAATCTTGGGTCTCTGTCCAAAGGCGACTATCTTGGTCTTCTGATAGTTAATAGTTAGGGATTTGTATTCACAGTATGAGACAAACTTCTTAAGTGCCCTCCTCAGCCCTACGGGGGTTCTGGATAGAATTAATGTATCATCAGCATAGAGTAAAGCTGGCACTGTTCATGGGATGTCTTAATTTTGCTCTAAATAGAATTCTACAAAGTTGTTAACAGTAATAATTGTGAGCCATCATGTTAGTTCTAATTTATGGCAATTCCTTTTCAGGGTTTTTTAAGCAGACAGTAGTCAGAAGTGGTTTAGCACGCCCTTCTTCTAGGGACATCCTGGGACTGTACAGCTTGCCCAAGGCCACACAGGCTGGCTGTTCCAGAGTGGGAAACGGAATTCCCAACCTCTGGCTCCACAACCAGGTAACTAACTCACTGAGCTATTTAGCCAGCTCACCAAGTAGATATGACTACTAAAATCAAATGTTATTTCAGCTGCTTGACAGGCAAAATTACACCCACTGTCACCCAGACACCATTCCTCACAAGTGTAATTCATAAATAATACAGTGGTGCCTCGCTTAACGAGC